GCTTGGGGAGAGCTTGGGCTTGTGCCACTCCTGGAGGAGATTTGGGATTTCGGGGCAGTTGTGCTTGGAAGCAGTTCAGGGCATCACCTGCCATGGGTCTGTGATTGAAAAGCAGATGAACAAAGAAGCAAACGGAAGGGTAACAATAATGGATTAGAGAAACACTTCTCGCACTTGCCTGCCCTCAGCCAGGCTGCACATGGCGCTTGGGACCCAAAGTTTGGGGTTATTTGGTTGCTGAAGGCAGAAGGGTTTGGATATGAGCTCCCTCCACGCTGCTTCTGGGCTGATCTGGTGTGTGAGTTCTGGTAGGGATGGTTCTCACCCTGCTGGGTTTTAGCCCCACTTTGTTTGCCCACAGACCCTTCTGTCAGTGACCTGAGGGATCTCCAGGCCCTGAGCAGAGCTGGCGTTAGCACCAAACTCTCTGTGTGCCCCAGAGGGAATCCCAGCTCCAACCTGGCGTGACCAAAGCCCACAAAAATGCAATTTCTGGCGTGTGAAATAATGTTGACTGAGGAGTTAAAGTGCATAAACAAAGTCTGCACCTTCCCCTCAGATAAATCGTTTTTTTGGGTTAATCTGGCACAGCATGAACAGCTCCAAATGTGCAATAACTCATAGACCCAGAGCCTTTTCATCTCACATAGGAACGACCTGGGCTGTTCTTTCTTCCAAATAAGGAATTAATAATGCAATATTGTTGTTTCCAAGGAGCTCAGCTTTTTTTGAGGAGTGCCTTCTCCCCCTCCTCTAGACCCAGTGAAACACATGAACATTTGGAGCCTTTAATAACCTGGCGCAGCCTGCTCTTGATTTCTCTGAGACCTGCCAATGATTTTGATGTCAGGGCTGCGAGGTACAATTGTAGTGTTGAATTTCTGCAGGCAGAGCAGTTGAAAGGGAAGGTCAAAAGCAATAAGGGCCAGGTTGCTGGGGCGGGCGGCTGAGGAGCGTTTCCCCGGCCCTCTCGCCCAAGAAAACGTTTGGCTGTCACAAAACTAATAAAGGAAAAACCTCCAGAGAGGTGGGCTCGGAGCTGCAGGTGGAGGAACGGGGCTGGAGTCACACACAAGGCAGCTTAATAGCGTGGGATTGCTGCTCAAGTGCTTCTTAATGCAGCACAAATGGAATACCCAGCACGGGGAAAGTGTTGGAGGGAAAGGGTTTTATGGCTTTGGGGGGAGAAAGGGCTTGGCTCTTCTGCAGGGAACATAAAGGACAGCAAGATGGATTTCTTGGGGTGCTTGCCATGTGAAAGTAGTGCTTTAGGTATGTGCAGAGGGTTCAGAGCCAGCCTCCAGGCTGGTTCTCTCTGCCTCCCAAAGCAGGGCTTTGAGGGGATTTGGGCAGGGTTTCTGCCATATATCTGGCAACACGGGCTTAAAATTAACTTACTGAAGCAGCAGATAAAGTTTGGGTTCTTTCAAAGTGTGATATTAAATAGGAGTCCTGGAGGAAAGCAGCCAGGCCTCGTGCTGAAGGTCCCATCCTTGCCCTGCCTCTCTGCTGCCCTATAAAACAACAATTATGTGTTTAAAGTTACTGCTCCACGTCCCTTATAAAAGAAGTCTTATTCATAAACTTCTGGATAGACAGTTCTGTGGGAATATAACTTCCTTGGCCTAAACCAAGCTGCCTTTTCCAGATAATGGAATGCTATACAGGCTCTTTAAAGTCTGACCATGCTATTTATTATTATTTTATCATCTATAAAAAGACACCAGTGCTGAACCTGGGAGTGACACTGCACTCAGATCATCAGGAAAGACAGGGAAAACCCCAAGGAGAGCTGCTGTTCCCAGAAATACTCACTGACAGGTGCTGGGGGTGCCCAGGGCTTGGTGCAGGGTGCCTGCCCTCAGCTCCTCTCTGCAGGCACAGGGCAGGGCATTGCCATGGGCTCACCTCAGTTCTGGGGTGGGGTTTGCCAGTTGGACATTGCTGAAATGGGCTTGGGTGCAGCCCTGCAGCTTCTGAAGCCAGGGCACAGGAGCTGGCCCCACACACACAGGCACGTGCTCAGAATCCTTTGAATGGGCTGAAACCAGCATTGAATTCAGCACCCAACCACACTGGGCTGTGTTGGCTCTCTGAATGTCCCCAGTGAGGGAATATCAGCAGTGAGGGATCAGCAGTCAGGGATCAGCAGTGGGATCAGCAATGGGATCAGCAATGGATCAGCATTGAGGGATCAGCAATAGGATCAGCAGTGAGGGATCAGCAGTGGGATCAGCAGTGGGATCAGCAATGGATCAGCAGTGAGGGATCAGCATTGGGATCAGCAGTGAGGGATCAGCAGTGGGATCAGCATTGGGATCAGCCCCTGGATCAGCAGCTGGATCAACAATGGGATCAGCAATGGGATCAGCAATGGATCGGCAGTGAGGGATCAGCAATGGGATCAGCAATGAGGGATCAGCAATGGGATCAGCAATGGATCAGCACTGGGATCAGCCCCTGGATCAGTAGTGAGGGATCAGCAATGGATCAGCACTGGGATCAGCAGTGAGGGATCAGCAGTGGGATCAGCATTGGGATCAGCAGTGAGGGATCAGCACTGGGATCAGCCCCTGGATCAGCAGTGGGATCAGCAATGGATCAGCAGTGAGGGATCAGCAGCTGGATCAGCCCCTGGATCAACAGCTGGATCAGCCCCTGGATCAGCAGCTGGATCAGCAGCTGGAGCACTGCCCCAGAGCCTGTAACACAGGGATTTTCAGGAGCATGGCATTTACTGCAGCCTGCCTTGATTACTTGCTCTGTAATTGCACAGAGATTTCTGCTCCCCACCTTTCCCTGGGATGCAGTTGGGATTTGTATTCCTGGAATGTTTCCTTTTGCACGAGAACCTTTCCTTTGTTCTCTTCTGACTCCTGTTGACTTTAAGAATGGCTTTGATTCCTGAACCTCTCTTTGAGCTTGTCAGGGGGAATATTTATATTTCATAGCATTTCAGCAAAAAAAGGCAAAGCAGGCAGGGACCTCAGAATGCAGAATTCCTGTCAGATCCTATCCACAGCTTTAGTGGGGAAAGCATGTGAAACACCCAGGTTTAAAACCTCCAGATCCTTCTAATCTGCTGTTGTGTGGTTCATGGGGGAAATGTGTGCAGCAGCTGCTCTGGGTGGTGTGAGGGGTGCTTGGGGATGTGTGTGAGCCCTGTGCTCCTGGCTCTGTGTCCCTGGGCTCAGTAGTTCTGCCTCTCCCACCTCAGCTGGGACAAGGACAGCTCTTGACCTTTTTGGCTGCAGGTTTTTAATTCCAGTCCTTTCCCAGGGATGCACTGAGGTTTATTTCACTTTGCTGTCCCCTCTCTCAGTGCCCTGCACTTCCCTCACCCAGCACTGCCCATTAGCAATCCTTTATCAGCCCCCACCTTCCCCTCTTCCTGCTGGGGATAATTTGGGGTTTATGTGCAGTTTTTCTTGGGACTTGTCAGAGAATAATTACACCCCATTAACTCCCCCTGTATCATTAGTAATTCACACCTAGGGAGTATTTTCCAAGCAGCCGATCTCGGTTGTCTCTTAATTGCTGGAGTCCATAAACTCTGCTGCACTGAAACTGTGTGAAGGATTTGCACCCTCTAAAACTTCTCCCTCCAGTGCAAAACATAACAGAGAATGGGAATGTGGCAGCTTTATCAGATCTTACTTCTTCCCTATTTAGGCAAATTATTTGCTTCTGGCTCTGTTGAAAACTCCAAAATGTATGTTAAGGTGTAAAAAATTCGAGACTGAAAGGGTGAGGAAGTTGTGGCTGCTCAGCCTGGAGAGGAGAAGCTCCAGGGAGAGCTCAGAGCCCTTCCAGGGCCTGGAGGGGCTCCAGGAGAGCTGGAGAGGGACTGGGGACAAGGCATGGAGGGACAGACACAGGGAATGGCTCCCAGTGCCAGAGGGCAGGGATGGATGGGATCACAAATGGTTTCAGCTGAGCATAAGAGAAAAAAAAAAATACTGTTGGTGGCAACTCTTATTTCCCTGGAAAAAAAATCCTGGCCCCCTGGCAGAGGAACAGTTTCTGCACAGAAAACATGACACTATTTACAAAAAGCAGTGTCTAATATCCTTTTCCAGCTTGGAAGGAGGAGTTTATTTCAATACATCCTTTTTTAATTGCCATGAGCTGGACTTGTAAATACTGTAAGTGGTTGAGTAATAGTCCTGAGTGAGCAGAGAGAGGAAGGGACAGGTTTTCCACTCTTGGAACCCTCTGCATTCCCTCAGCTCGGGCAGGGAGACTGCACACAGCAGATACTGAGCACAAATAAAAGCCTCTTAATTAAAAGATCATTGAAGCCCAGGGGAGGATGCCCGTGGCTGTGATGCCAGTGCCCAGCACAGGGATCCAGCTGGGTGAGGAGTTTGTTATTGGGGGTGCTTTGGGAGGTGGATCCAGGGTGTTCTCACTGAAACATTTCTTCCTTTCCTCTAAAGAATGGGAGAGAAAGGGGAGGGTTTGTGCTGAGAAATGGGGAGTTAGGGAGAGGGGAGGGACCCCACCTCGTACAATCTCATTTGTCATGAAGCTCTGCAGGGATCAGTGGGTTTGGGGCAGGGTGGGGCACAGGTGGGGCAGGGCACTGTGGGATGATCCCTGTTGCCCCAGGTGGGTCCATGCCTGACAGCCCAGCCCTGCACTGAGTTCTGTGTGAAAGCAGGAGTACTTTGTGTTGGAAACAATTTCCTGCTGCAGCGTGGATTTCCTCCTGAATAATCCTTTGCCCCAGTGGGATGGTACAGAGGGATTCTAGCAAAGCTCAGCTGGCCTTGCTGTGAGTTAAACACATCCCTTGATGTTTCTGTGGCAGATGTTCAGGGAGGAAGGTTCCCTGCTGGGAAATTCTGATTTGTGGGGTCAGGAAAAGAAGGAACCCCTCTGCCAACGTGGGGTTTGGGTCCAGGTGTCTGCTCAGGTCACCAGTGCAGGCTGTGGGGGTGAGCAGGGGAGGAGGAGGAATTGAATCACAGAAATCCTGAGCCTTGCTCTCCCTGCAGGGATGCTGGTGGTGATCGTGCTGCTGCTCATCGCCATCGCTGTGGTCGCGCTCTGGCCCACGGGGTAACCCCAACCCTGCTGGGGCAGCTGCTCCAGGGGAGCCCCAGGGCTCGGGCAGGACCTGCTGAGGGCAGGGATCAGCTCCATCCATCGCGGGGACAACCCCACAGCTGGGAATGAACCCAGCAGATTGAACAAACCCACAGCTGGGAATGACCCCAGCAGATTGAACAAACTGCAGGAGCCTGGACAGACCCACAGCTGGGAATGAACCCATTGCAGCAGATTGAACAAACCCACAGCTGGGAATGAACCCATTGCAGCAGCCTGGACAAACCCACAGCTGGGAATGACCCCACTGCAGGAGATTGAACCAACCCACAGCTGAGAATGACCCCATTGCAGGAGATTGAGCAAACCCACAGCTGGGAATGAACCCACTGCAGCAGATTGAACAAACCCACAGCTGGGAATGAACCCAGCAGATTGAACAAACCCACAGCTGGGAATGACCCCATTGCAGCAGCCACAGCTGGGAATGACCCCACTGCAGCAGATTGAACAGCTGGGAATGACTCCACTGCAGCAGCCACAGCTGGGAATGACCCCACTGCAGCAGATTGAACAAACCCACAGCTGGGAATGACCCCACTGCAGCAGCCTGAGGCAGCCCCGCTCTCCTTGGCCGAGGAGCTCGGTGGGATCTGCAGGATTTCAGTGGGAAAAGGATTTCATCCCACTAACAGGGTTTCATCCCACTAACAGGGTTTCATCCCACTCTTCCCACCTTCCTGTGGCACTCAGGGAGCTGCAGCTGTGGGATGGAGCCGCCTCTCCTGCATCTGGGCACAGCTGGTGCTGCTGCCCTGCCCCGGACACCCCAGGGGCCCCAAGCAGGGAAATCCAGGAGTGCTTTGGAGAACAGCAGCGTTCCCTGCTCTGGGACAATGCTGTGCTCCAGGAATGCCTGGGGATGGCTGCCTCTGGGTGCTCCCACGATGGGAAGGGACAGCCCTGCAGGAGCCCCTGGGCTGCACAGAACCAGGGGCTGGGTCAGTGCTCAGCCCCTGGGGGAGGCTCGGTGGGTTATTGATCCCAGGGACGGTTATTGGGGGGTTATTGATCCCCAGGGGTGGTTACTGGTGGGTTATTGATCCCAGGGATGGTTATTGGGGGGTTATTGATCCCAGGGACGGTTATTGGGGGGTTATTGATCTCCAGGGACGGTTATTGGTGGGTTATTGATCCCCAGGGACAGTTTCTAGTGGATTATTGATGTCCAGGGACAGTTATTGGTGGGTTATTGATCCCAGGGACGGTTATTGGGGGGTTATTGATCCCAGGGACGGTTACTGGTGGGTTATTGATCCCCAGGGACAGTTTCTAGTGGATTATTGGTGTCCAGGGACAGTTATTGGTGGGTTATTGATCCCCAGGGATGGTTATTGGTGGGTTATTGATCCCAGGGATGGTTATTGGGGGGTTATTGATCCCCAGGGGTGGTTATTGGTGGGTTATTGATCCCCAGGGGTGGTTATTGGTGGGTTACTGATCCCCAGGGACAGTTATTGGTGGGTTATTGATCCCCAGGGGTGGTTACTGGTGAGTTACTGATCTCAGATGGGACCTGACCAGCAGCAGGACTCAGCCCAGCCTGTGAGAGTGGAGAGCTCTGCCCTCGTGTGCTCCCCAGAGGCTCTGCCAGCCTGGCCCTGGGAGATGCACCACAGTCAATGTCCTCACTGAGCTCTGGCTCTTCCTTTGACAGCTTCTCACACCCTTCTACAGCTGAGAGGAAGGATTACCTATTTCAAAACTAATGAAAAAGAAGTATTACATGTTTGCTTCTGGCCAAGAGAATAATTATTTTGTTACACATGTCAGTTTGATTTCAGGATTAATAGAGCAAGCAATAAATACTGATTAAAGCTGATCCATTTCTATACAGTTTCTCTGCCTGGGGTTTTATTGTTTCCTCCTATCTTGTGTTGTCTGTGAATGATTTATCCAAGGCTGCCATGTCCTAAGAGCTGGTCTGGAGAAGGAAATAAGCAATTTCTGTCAGACTTTGTGTGAATTGTGCCAGATCTGTCACTCTTGCAAGGGCTGGCCCTCACTGGGATCCCAGGGGTTCAGAGCTTCTTCACCTGCCATGGGTGGTGCTGTGATAGCTGTGGGAGCTGTCCCCTGCATCCAGAGAACATTTCCTGTCTTGGTGCTCCCAGGGAGGGACAGGAGAGAGGAGCTTGGTGAGAAAGGCCCCGAGATGCAGCTGTGCCCCCTCCAGCTTCAGGCAGGGCTCTGTGCCCATCCTCAACACTCAGAGCTGGAGGCTGGAGCTGCTCTGGAGCTGCCCCTGTGCTCTGCTGGGGAAAGCCTTGAAGCCTTTCCAGGGGCAGCCCAGGCTGTGCCTGCCCAGTTTTCTTGGAGAGATGCTTCACCTTGGGGCTGTCAGGGAGGGCAGGGCTGCTTTGGGGTGCTCTGGTTTCCAAGAGCACAGGCAGGGGCTGTGAGTTATTGCTGATGTCAGATTTGCAATGGAGCTTCAGGCAGGGCTGCTCCAGCAAGGAAAGGTTCCAAACCCCTGCATTCCTGCAGCTCTGTGGACGCTGGGAATGCTCCTGGAGCTGTTCCTCAGCAGCAGCCCCCAGACCTGGAGCAGAATTTCAGTGCCAGCTCTGGAGCAGCCCCGTGGATCTGCAGTGACAGCCAGAGAGCAGCGTGGGCTTTGTTCAGAGCAGACCACGGGCCTGGGCTGCTAATTAAAACTGCCACTTCTGGGCTGCTAATTAAAGCTGCCACTTCTGGAGGGAATGATGGCTTTGTTTGAGTTCCCAGGACATGCAGGATGGACATGGAGCTCACCCTGGTCAGAGTTCCACAGCACTTTGTTCTGACCCAGGCTTTCAAAGTTTTTCTGACCCACTGGGTCCCCCAGCACATTTTTCCTGTGAGCTCCTGGGAAGGGTGGAAACAGCAGGACTTGCTTGTTGTGGCCAACAAAGGGGCTCTCAGCCTTGCCCTTTAGGTAGCATTGAATGTGTGGTGTTGGTGAGGAATTTGATTAAAAAGCAGTGGATTTGGCAGCACTCTGCTGTGTGCAGGGAAGCTTTTCTGTCTCCCTGCCCCACTAAAGAAAAAGCAAAGTTAAAATACGAGAGATGCCGGGGTTTGGCTCCCAGCAGCAGCGGAGGAGCCAACCTGGAGTGGTTTCCCAAGCAAAGATCTTCCTGGAATGTGCCCAGAGACATCCCAGCCTTGGCCTTCCCTGCCACCTCCTCATCTCTCTCCTGGAGGACGTGCTCAGGAGCTCAGCAGCTTCCACGCCAACAATCCCAGTGCTGGGGGCAGGACGTGGATGTCCCAGCGCTGGGAGAAATCCCCACCTCCTGCAGGAGAGCTGGGATCATCCTGGCACGCTGCTGGGCATTTCCCATTCCCTGGGTCCTGGGCTGAGCTGGGTGTGTGGATGGTTCCTCTCCCACTCTGCTGCTGGGCATTTCCCATTCCCTGGGTCCTGGGCTGAGCTGGGTGTGTGGATGGTTCCTCTCCCACTCTGCTGCTGGGCATTTCCCATTCCCTGGGTCCTGGGCTGAGCTGGGTGTGTGGATGGTTCCTCTCCCACTCTGCTGCTGGGCATTTCCCATTCCCTGGGTCCTGGGCTGAGCTGGGTGTGTGGATGGTTCCTCTCCCACTCTGCTGCTGGGCATTTCCCATTCCCTGGGTCCTGGGCTGAGCTGGGTGTGTGGATGGTTCCTCTCCCACTCTGCTGCTGGGACCAGGCTGGGAAAACCCCCCCGGTGCAGCCCTCCGTGGGAAAGGCCTCCCCCCCTTTCAGAGGCACCGTGTCACCTCTGCACAAGTGGCCACCTCCATCCTGGGAGCCCATTTGCCCCTGGGAGCAGAGGGCTGGCGCTTGGCACCCGTTTGTCCCTGCAATAAAGATCTGACATTTCCGCCCCCGCTGTGGTTTTGGGTTCATAAATCCCCAGCCCTGCTGAAGGCTCGGGTCAGCTGGGCTGACCCCAGCACTTGGCAGCCCCTTTTGCCTGGATTTCTGTCCCTGGAAGTGTTTTGGTGCCTCAGTTCCCCCTGCCTCCAGCTCTCTGTGCTGCCAGTGCCACCAGCCCTTGCCTGGCCACCAGCTCTGGGCACACTGACCCTGGATGGGGCTGGGGGAGCTGGGGGAGCCCTGCAGGGTGGGCAGGAAGGGCCAGCACTGGATGGGGCTGGGGGAGCTGATGGAGCCCTGCAGGGTGGGCAGGAAGGGCCAGCACTGGATGGGGCTGGGGGAGCTGATGGAGCCCTGCAGGGTGGGCAGGAAGGGCCAGCACTGGATGGGGCTGAGGGAGCTGATGGAGCCCTGCAGGGTGGGCAGGAAGGGCCAGCACTGGATGGAGCTGAGGGAACCCTGAGCCCTGCAGGATGGGCAGGAAGGGCCAGCACTGGATGGGGCTGGGGGAGCCCTGAGCCCTGCAGGGTGGGCAGGAAGGGTCAGCACTGCTCAGCAGCCCCTGGATGGGACAGAAATGGGGCAGAGCGGGGCTGGCAGCTGTTCTGACTCCAGACTTTGGCTGTCCCCAGCTCCAGGCAGGGTCCCCAGGTTTTGGCTCTGTCCCACTGCAGGGCACAGCTGAGCCCACAGGGCTGCTGGGGACCCCCCTGCCACCCACCCACGGTGACACCGCTGTCCCCAAGGCCAGTGGCCACTGCCTGGAGGTGCTGGGCAGGGACAGGGCTGGGGCTGCCAGTCCAGAACTGAGCTGTGCCACCTCAGCCCTGCCCGGGGACACTGACAGAGCCAGGGGTGGAGGGGACACCATCATCTCCCTGCCCAGCTCCTTGTCCCACAGGCTCACGGAGCAGTGGGCTGGGAAAAAGCAGAAATTCCTGGAGATTTTTACAGTTTACAAGAGTTTATTCAACTGGTTTCTGACTTTAGTCCTACCGAGGGGGTGCTGAACAGTTACAAGCTCCTTCGGGTCAATTACAGCCAATCTAACGAACAAACAAACAAAAGGGAAAAAAAAAAAGGAAAAAAAAAGAACTCGGAAAAACAATAAGAAAATCCACAACTTTTTCATGTGTCATTAAATATATTCATATATAATAACCATAATATATTAGTATGCATTGTAAAGAAACATCGCCCAAAGCAGTCTGCCATGGTCATAACTAAACAACATTTACAGTTCAAGATATTAACAGAAATAAAAAAAAAAAAAAAAAGAAACAAAAACAAAACCAAAATAAAACAACCCCAAAAGGAACACAGGTTTGTGAGGGGGTGAGGCGGGGCGGGAGGGGCACGGACACACGGACAAACAGAAACGAGACCAAGCCACTTCTGTGGGGTGCTACGGTCGGTGATGATTGTTTTGGCATTTCAGCTGCTCTCCAAAGCCTCCCTGCAGGCACCACAGCCCCTTCCCTGTGCCCTGGGGGTGCCACTCCTGTCCCCATGGGTCCCTGCTGGTCAGAAGGGGGTCGGTGTCCCAGAGCTGCCCCTGGCTGGGCAGGTGCTGAGGGGGCCTCCTGTGCCTCTGGGGGAGCAGCACAGGGGGTGTTCTCATGGGGGTGTCCTCATGGGGGTGTCCTCATGGAGATGTCCTCATGGGGGTGTCCTCATGGGGGTGTCCTCCTGGAGATGTCCTGGGGGTGTCCTCATGGGGGTGTCCTCCTGGAGATGTCCTGGGGGTGTCCTCCTGGGGGTGTCCTCATGGGGGTGTCCTCCTGGGGGTGTCCTCATGGAGATGTCCTGGAGCAGGGGTGCTGCAGGGAGGAGCTGCCCCTCTGGAGCCTGAAACGGTGCTGCTGTGCCCTCCCAGCCGAGGCTGCTCCAGCTGCACCAGTTCCAGCACCAGTTCCAGCAGGCCAGGGTTACTGGGAGCACATGAAGGGCACTGGGGCCATGGATGGAGTGCAGGTTGGTTTGCCTGGGCTGATGGAAAGCACAAAACTCCAGCAGGGATGGAGGGACAGGTCTGGGGGCTTCCCTCCTGTGCCAGCATCCAGGCTGCTGTGCCAGCTCATTTCCCTCTGAGCCCCCAGGCTGTGCCAGGGCCGTGGGATCAGGGGCTGGGGGCCTTCCAGGAGCAGTGGGAGCAGGGAAGGGGCTGCAGGGTGTCCCTGGGGGTTTGGGGTGTCCAAGCTGTGCTGGGAGGGTGCTGTGCTTGACAAGGGTGGAAACTGGGAGTGAGCCTCGGGTGTCCAGGTGTGCTATGGGCAGTTCCCGAGTCCCCAGGTGCCCTGGCCTTTCCTTCCTGCTCTCCACGTGGAGAACTGGCTTTGGGTTGGATTCTGTTACCTTCAGGCACCATTTGAGGGTTGGGGACATCCCAGCTGCCTGGAGATGTGCTGTCCCCACCCTGGCAGCAGCTGATGGTGACTGCAGGAGAGCATCCAAGCCCTCTTTCAGGGCTTTAAGCCTCCATTTGGACACTTGAGGTCAGATTTTATCCCTCAGAACCTGGTGGCTTCACTTCCCTTGGCTGCAAAACCCTCAGCTCTCCTTGAGCTCTGAGATAAGGAAAACCAGGTTTGGGAAAGGGGAGAAAACAGACTTGGTGGGGGAAGCTGCTTGATGTCCAGGGTGGGATTTTTCTCCTCATACCCAGATTAATTTTGGGGGCCTTGTGGTGGCAGGGGAGGCTCAGCAGAGCTGGGTCCCTCCGGGTGGTGTCTCCAGCAGCCCCGGGAGCCTCCTCTTTGCACCTATTTACATGGCTGCCCTGCTTTATGGTGGTTTATGTCATTATATAAATATTGTCAATTGCTATAAAACAAGGCAAAACCACTGGAAAATGTCATAAAAGAGATGTTTCCAAGTTTCCTAAAAGGAAAAATAGCAGGGAGGTTTTGCTTTTCATAGCGACTAATGTTTGCTTCTCCTCCAGGTACCGTCCTGCCCTCCCTGCCTTCCTGCCCAGCCATTCCTGCTCTCCCTGCATGAGGTGGAATTGGAAATCCCCATTCCCCAGGGGCTGCTGTGCCAGGGGAGCAGCCTGGCATGGGCTCACAGCTCCCAGTCCAGTCCTGCCCACAGGGTGCCCCAGGGGAGGATGCTCCGGTCTGAGGTGAGGCAGCCTCCACTGGGCTCAGTGCATTCATGACTGGAAATTGGGAATTTTAAATTGGCTGGATGCCCCCCCCAGCAGAGGGAGAAGAGCTCCAGGTGGGTCACACCTTGCTCCTGGCTGAGACCCCTTCCCTGTGTGGGCTCTGCACTGGCCCCATGCCCATGGGGACAGTCCCTGGCACCCTCTGCTCCCCACTTTGTCTCCAAGACCTTCACAGGGATGTCAGGGGCTGCAGCTCCAGAGGGAGTGAGGGCAGAGCTGCTCTGGGTTTGGGGGTGAAACCAGTGACCAGCCAGGACCCTGGTGTCCCCTGCAGGGATTTTCTACCTTCTGAGGGTTCCTAGTGTGCTGACAGCAGCAGAGGGCACCGAGCCCATGGAGGAGGTTCAGAGGTGGCCACAGTGGAGATTCAAGGACTGAGACTGGCAGGATCTTCAGGGCACTTTGTGGGAGCTGGATGCCAACTCATTTTTTGTTAGGTCTGGGTGTTTCCTTGGGGATCCTGGTTATAGACTCCTTGTAAGTGCGTGGCTGGAGGGGGACAGGGCGCCCTGTGGGCTCTCACTCCTTCAGTGTGTTGGGGCAGCATCCTCAGGGCCGGGGGCCGAGCACGGAGCCATTCCCAGAGTTATGCACAGCAGGAAATCCCCCACCAGCAGTGTCCCCTCTTGGCTGTGCCTACAGTGGACCCAGAGCATCATCACAGCCTCGGGCACCCCAGGCGGTGGGCATGGCTGTGGGACACCAAAGCCCCCCAGGACCCCCTGGGCTGATCCTTGGGTCTGTCCTCAGCAAAAGTCTCGGTTTAGTTTCCTCTACAAGAGCTCTCTCAGTCAGCCTAAGTTGCAAGTACGTGTTTTGGGGATGGGGAGTTAATTTCCAGCGGTGCTGTTGATTAGTTTCTTACGGGGTGGATGTGCCCATGCCGTGCTTTGGAGGCAGCAGATGTTGGCAGCTGGAAGGCAGTTTGGTGTCTCTGAGTTCTTCAGCAACGGGGCAGGAGGGAGCTGGGGGGCCCCAGGTGCTGCACGCCTGCACCCCACTCGTGGGCTCTGTCTGCGTGTGCAGTCAGGTTTTGTTGGGTTTTGTTGGGTTTTGTTGGGCTTTGTTGGGTTCTGTTGTGTCCTGTTGGGTTCTGTTGGGTTTTGATGGGTTTTGTTGAGTTCTGTTGGGTTCTGTTGGGTCCTGTTGGGTTTTGATGGGTTTTGTTGAGTTCTGCTGGGTTTTGTTGAGTTCTGTTGGATTCTGTTGAGTTCTGTTGAGTTCTGTTGGGTTTTGTTGAGTTCTGCTGGGTTTTGTTGAGTTCTGTTGGGTTTTGTTGAGTTCTGTTGAGTTCTGTTGGGTTTTGTTGGGTTCTGTTGGGTTTTGTTTGGTCCTGTTGGGTCCTGTTGGGTCCTGTTGGGTTCTGTTGGGTGTTGATGGGTTTTGTTGAGTTCTGTTGAGTTCTGTTGGGTTTTGTTGAGTTCTGTTGGGTTTTTTTTGGTCCTGTTGGGTCCTGTTGGGTTCTGTTGAGTCCTGTTGGGTTTCATTTCCCCTGGAATATGAGGTGCAGGCCCAGCACCCCCAGCCATGGTCGCTGCCCCCCGTCCCCCCAGCCCGCCCTGGCAGCTGGCCCCTGCCCGCCCCAGCTCTACACAAAGCAGCATGCACAGTCAGTCTCTCCCTCTCCTCCTCCTCCTTTAGGCTTTCTTACACTTCCCCTTCTTCTCCCGCTGCTGGAACTTCCGGAGCCGCCGGGCCCACGTGTCCCGCCACTGGATCACCAGGCTGGTTTTGTCCGCAATGATGCCGCTCTGGTCGGGAGAGTCCTCGTTGTTGCCCAGCAGCAAATACTTCTTCATGGGCTTGATCTTGGGGCACTTGCAGGCGATGTCCTTGGAGTGGATCCACAGGGTCTGGTCGCCGCGCCGGATGCGGTTGCTGCCCTGCTTGTAGACGGAGATGATGTTCACCGTGAACTTCCACCAGTCCGCGTTCTTCTCTGCTTTCAGGACGTGGATCTGGACAGCTGGAGAAAAACAACACACAGGCAAGAGAGGAGAAGGTGTTATTGCTTGGGCTGGTGAGCAGAAAATGGGCTTCAGGCCTTACCTAATGGGCTGTGTGAGGAGGAGGGATTTTGCAGCAGCCAGGGGGTGTGGATGCCCCAAAATGCTGTCCCCAGGCAACCTCCCAAGAACAGGAGCAGCCACTGCTGCATCTGAGGGCCCAGCAGAGCTTCCAAGAGCACCACAGGCTTGGGAGATGCTCTCCAGCTCTGAGCCTGGCAGAGTCACTGAAACACCTCTGCAAGGGCTGGGTGGCAGCTCCGGGCTCCAGGGAGATGTCCTGGTGTCCTGGCAGAGCACTGGGAGAGCTCCAGCTCCCACAGCCAGAGGGAGTGGGAGCACAGCCCTGATCCCCGCACAAGGTGATGCTGATGATGGTGATGGTGATGAGGATTATGATGGTTTCCCATGGCTGATGCTGTGTAACCCCCTCTGTAGCCATGGCCTGGGGACACCTCAGCCCTTGTTCTGTCCTGGGCTAAAAATCAGCTCCCAGGAAATGCCTTGCCCAGGCAGGGCCTGCCCAGCCCTCCTGGCTCTGTTTCCAGCTGTGGGTGAGGAATCCCCACCAGGAGGGACCCAGGGAAGCCCCAGGTGAGGGTGGCCGGGCTGGGAGAGCAGCAGGGGCCAGGCCCTGCACAGGCTGGTGCAGCACCACCACAAAGAGCTTTTTTAGCCAAATCACAGAACTTTTCCCTTTTCCCCGCTGTTCCCTCCATGCCCTGGGAGCTGTAAACCCCTGCCCATTCACCTGCCTGTCTCAGCTGCCCCAGTGGGACCCATCCTGTTTGTATAAATTAACAGAGGGAGAAGAAACTCCCAGAAACCTCAGGGAAAACTCTGCTGCCACTTGCCTTGTAACAGTCCCGTTTTCTCCCCTGGGTTGGTGGTGGAGGAGCATCCCCCTGTCTCTAAAACCAAGTGATTCCAGGCTCTGGGAGGAAGCAGAGCTCTGCAGCCCAGCACAGCTTTTTAACACGTTGCAAAATATATGGGGTATTTTTTTTCAGAGCGTGTCATGGAGGCCAGATGCTTTCATTAAAAAAAAAAAAGGGACAAGGAAAAAAAAAAGGAAAAAAAACAACCCTAAGCTCTGACCATGTATTTCCCTGTCTGGTGTGAAGGTAACAAAATGTGAAGAGTAGCCAATTTTTATTTTTTGGAAACAAATCTTTCCAAAAAAGCTTAAACCTTTGACCTGCTTGGGTCCACACTGACAAAATGGAGAAAATGAATGAAAAGGAACTGGAGAGAGGTGGTTACAGGAAACTCTGCTCTAAAACACACAGTCTGTATTTTTTTTAATGTCAAGGCCCCTGTCTCTTATTTTTTCCCTTTTTATTAATGAAGTGGAAGGAGTGAAAGCTTTGAGGAAGGCTTGGCTGGGGCAGGCACAGCTGCCTGCCCTGACAGCCGGATTTCTGCCCACAGCTTCGTGTCCAGGACGCTCGGTTCCTCCTGAGCTCAGTTCCTCCCGAGCTCCAGGGGTGTTTGTCTGGCTGTTCCAGTGCTGAGGTGGGACCAGCATCTCCCAGGGGACACAGGACATGCAGAGAGGCAGAAATGGGCCAGGATGAATTTTTGAAGGATCAAGGCTGGATTTAAACACTCCCTTCTCATGCAGGAGGGTTCAGTCCTGTCCTGATTTGGGGCTCTGGCTCAGCTGTGCCCCCCAGTGCAGAGCTGGCTTTGGGGTTTGGTGCTGCCCTTCAGCTGCCCTCTCCTGGGACAGGCTGGGCTTTGTGCTGAGCTGCTCTCCCCTGGCTGATGTTCCACTGAAGCCCTGCTCAGACTGTCCCTGTCTCTGCATCCCTGGCAAAACCCCTGGGGCAGCAGATGGAGGGAGGAGACAGGGGATGATGGTTCCTCCTGGGGATGGTGCTGCCCTTGCTGTGGTCCCCTGGGAGCAGGAGAACAAAATCAAAGGAGCTGCAGCTTCCACTGCTCCAGCTGGAGCTGGTGACACTGGTTTCAGTGAGGATGGGCTCTGGTCCACACTGGTGACACTGGTTTCAGTGAGGATGGGCTCTGGTTCACACTGGTGACACTGGTTTCAGTGAGGATGGGCTCTGGTTCACACTGGTGACACTGGTTTCAGTGATGGGCTCTGGTTCACACTGGTGACACTGGTTTCAGTGAGGATGGGCTCTGGTTCACACTGGTGACACTGGTTTCAGTGAGGATGGGCTCTGGTCCACACTGGTGACACTGGTTTCAGTGAGGATGGGCTCTGGTTCACACTGGTGACACTGGTTTCAGTGAGGATGGGCTCTGGTTCACACTGGTGACACTGGTTTCAGTGAGGATGGGCTCTGGTCCAGGCTGGTTTCAGCAAACTCCCAGAGATGCAGGGATTGTTCTCCAGGTTCATTTCCCTGCAGCCTGCTCTGCTCCCCAGGGAGCTCTCAGGCAGCAAAGGGGCCTGGAGAGCAGGGGGACAGCAGGGGGACATCAGGGGGACAGCAGGGGCACAGCTGGGGAACAGCTGGGGCACAGCTGGGGCCTGGTGAGGGCAGGGGCTGCCCAGGAACCTAATCCCACCTGACACTGACACTCCTGACCCACCAATCCCACCTGGATGGTGCCTTCCAGCCCTCACCACAGTTTGGTGCTTTGCCAGAAGAAGGTGACAGAGTGGTCCCCAGGCTGGGGCAGGGGAGGGAGGGTCCCTGGTCCCCTCCTGCATGCCCAGAGCTCAGGGATGCTCCTGGCTCCTCGAGGCCTGGCTGGGAGCCTCCAGCCACAAGAAAACCCCAAAGGCTGGAAGCTGGAGATGAAAGCCCAGGGGTGGATGGTTTGATGTTAATAAAAACAAAACCCAGCCCAAAGCCTCAAAACAGCGTTTGAGGGCAGCTGCTGAAGGCTGAAAGCACAGCAGTGCCTTGCAGCATTCAGAGATCGTGAGTCAGGGCCCCAGACTCCTGAGGCTGCCATGAAAACAGGGAGGTTGGGGAAAACCTAATTATTTAATTACTTTTTAAATTTACATTTGGGGTTTGTTTGTGATAAATCTCCCGAGTTCAAGGCCTCCCCTGCTGAGGCTGACTCAGGGCTGGGCTGCAGGGCCAAACCTGTGCCTGCTGTGGTGGAATCCTGGAGCATCCCACACATCCCCTGCACAGACCTGTCTGTGGGAGTTTGGGAACCATGGCTGGGCTGGCCCCTGTACGATCCCAAGGACAGAGCACCTGTCCTTGGAGGGTATTTCACCTGGCCAGGTGGGAGGGCACAGCCCTGGCAGGCCCAGATGTCCCAGTCCAAAGGCCTGGCTCCCCTCTCACTGCACACACAAGTGGACTGGGGTCCATGTGGATTCTATTCCAACCAGCAGCAAAAGGTGACCCCGACACCATCTGGCTTTGGGAATGTAAAGGGCTGGCTCCTCGCTGCAGCAAAGTGTTAAAATGGGATTTTTTTCCCCCCCTTTTTTTCAGTTTTTAATTTATTTGGCGGCGGCTTTGCCTCGCTCCAGTTGCCAATTTCCTACTGGTTTAATATTGGAGATTTATGATCCCTAATCCCTGGGTGTGCCCTGCTGCTGGGGGACCCTCGCTGCCCCGGCTCTCTCCCTCAGCACGTGGCTGCAGCAGGGGCTGCTCAGCCCCAGGAATGGGATTTCTCCACCTTCCCAGCAGTGCAAGGGGCTCTGAGTGCCAGGGCTGGTGCTTCCCCCCTGCCCTGGGTTTTTTTGGGGAATTCAGGTTTTTCTCCCCCTCCCTCCCTCTTTTCAAGCTGCCTTTTGAAAACACATTTTGCTTTTTTCCAGCAGCCCCTGCCAAGCTCCTCTCGACAAAGGGGGTGACTAAGAGAAGGCTCCACTGAAGGAAGGATTTTTTTACTTTTTTTTTCCAAGAAAGGGCAAAGTGAGCAGATGATCTCACCTTTCGGATGAGGATTCTCTTCCTCAGCCCCATTCCCTGCCCAGTGCTGGGACGGGGATGCAGGGCCAGCCCGGGACCACAGTGCTGGTACAAAACTGTTCCAGCATCACCCGTGCAGGATCAGCCCTGCTGCAGCACAGGCAGCTCAGCACCAGGGGCTAAGTGGAGATTTAAAAGCTCCAGGTTTCCTTTAGCACAGTCACACCCACAGAGAGCTGGAACACCCCCAAAATCGAGCAGAAAATGTGGCCCTGAGGGAGTACAGGACGTTCACATCTCACCTGGACCAGCATCACCTGCTCTCATCAGATAACCCCCTCTCCTTCTGGGAGTCCCCACCCTCGCTGGGTTCAGCCCGAATCCCTTCTGCTCCCCCGGGATTTAAGTGCCCCCACCCCAGCAAACCCCTCCTCTCTCCCTGCGCTCCCCCACGCAGCCAAAAAATCCCAGAAAAGGCTTTTCTGCCTCCCCCTCCCCGAATCTCCCGCCCGCCCTCCCCCCGTCCTGTCGCACTCCAAATATTTGCAGCCAAACCCATCTCGCGGGGAAAAAAGCCCAAATTAAACTAAAAAGGAGAAAAACCACAAACCCGACAAAAACAAACAGATACGAAAAATAAATAAGGGAAAATATCCCCTTTGAAAGGCTGAATGAAGCGGGGAGCTAAAAAGGCCCATTGAGGAGCGGGCGGATGATAGCTCCGATTGAGCCCGCGGGAGAAGGAACTCTGTTCAAGCTAATTAGGGCCTTTTAGGACATTCAGCCCAGCGGTGCCAGCAGAACGGTGAGGAAAAGAGCCTCCTAATTGGCTTCCTGCTGGGGTGTCAGTCCCAAAGGCTTTATTATCCCTCCCTGCACCTTTTCAACCCTTTCTTCCCTCCCTGGCCCTGGTGAAAGCCTGGGCTGCCCCGGCACCGCTCACCCCGCTGCCTCTGCAGCGCGGTTTGTTCTCAAAAAAGAAAATTGCCGTGGCTGTGGGGCTGGCTGGGGCTGTGGGGGACCCTTCCATGGCCAGCAGGGTGGGGTGGGAGCACCCCAATGCCAGCACTGGGACAGTGTCCCCGCACCTGAACCAGCCCAAGCACACGGCTCTGGCTCGCTGGTGAAGCTGAGGAGCGATGCTGAGCGAGAAGAGAAGGGAAAAGCTCATTGCAGCTCCCCTAATCCCTGCTCCAGGGGCACCTCGTCTCTATTCATTGGGATCTCCTGCCTGAGACCCCTCTGGAGCCACCCACACCTCCCCAGGATCTGCTGCAGCCCACAGGGCAGCCCTACACAGATCCGGGTGTGAGTGCCACCCAGAATTCCAACAGAACCGGGTGTGAGTGTCATTCAAACCTCCAACAGATCCGGGTGTGAGTGCCACCCAGAATTACAACAGAACTGGGTGTGAGTGTCACCCAAACCTCCAACAGATCCGGGTGTGAGTGTCACCCAAAATTCAAATAGAATTGAGTGTGAGTGTGACCCAAAATTCCAACAGAACTGGGTGTGAGTGTCACCCAAACCTCCAACAGATCTGGGTGTGAGTGTCACCCAAAATTCAAATAGAATTGAGTGTGAGTGTCACCCAAAATTCCAACAGATCCAGGTATGAGTGTCATCCAAAATTCCAACAGAACTGAATGTGTCACCCAAACCTCCAATAGAACCGTGAGTGCCACCCAAAATTCCAACAGATCCAGGTGTGAGTGTCACCCAAACCTCCAACAGATCTGGGTGTGAGTGTCACCCAAAATTCCAACAGATCCAGGTGTGAGTGTCACCCAAAATTCCAACAGAACTGAGTGTGAGTGTTACCCAAACCTCCAACAGATCCGAGTGTGAGTGCCACACAAAATTCCAACAGATTTGGTTGTAATGTCACTCAAACCTCCATCACCCAAACCTCCAACAGAACCCAGCGTGAGCTGTCCCAGGGCTGCACCACCCTCTGAAGTCTCCTGGGAATTATGGAGGTTTGGATACAGGTGACAGGGAACTGCTTGCTGCTCATCCCCACAGCAAAAAGGATTTAAAATATTTTCAAATCTTCAAAAGCCGTGGCAATATAACAGCACTGAGAGAGGGGACATGGTGTCATCATAACCAGAAGAAACTGGAAAACACTTGGGAAATGTGAGTCTCCTGCAGGTGCTGGGACAGCCCCCAGACGAGGGTCCACACTTGGGTGTGCTCATCCCAAGGGACCCAGGGCATCGCTGCCCCTCCACACCTGGCGAGGTTTGGCGCTCCCACACCTGCACGGCTGTGACCCTGGGGACACCCCCTGGGGACGCTCCTGCCCCCATGCCCATGGCTCATCCCTGCACAGGGGACACTCACCATAGTCCTTCTTACAGTACTTCTTCATGTTGATCTTCAGCTTCCCCTTGGAGGCTTTGCAGTACGAGTCGCAATCTGCGCGGGGAGAGGGGGAGGGCAAGAAAACATTAACAAAACAAATTAGCCTGAAAATGCAGAAAGCGCTGGGGGAAGGGGAGCGGCTCCGAGCCGCGGGCTGCCGTGAATAAGCAGCGTGCCTGTGATATCCATCTGCCGGGATGGGGCCATTGAGAACCCCTTCCTTTCTAAAGAAAGCTGCTCACAAAGGAGCCCGGCCTCCTCCGCCTCCCCCGGCCCGGCTTCCCCGGCCGCCTCTGTCTTCCTGGGAGACCCGGGGGCCTCCCTTATTGTGCCACCCAGAGCTTTTGAGAGCCACACAAATTCCCGCTGTTCTGCAGCTCCCACTGGAGCCTGCCCGGAGCCCACAGAGGCCCCATTGTCACCCCTAACCCGGGCCGGTGTCAGCCTTTGGCATTCATTGCCGGCAGATTCGGGCCGGGGTCAGCCCGCCACAATGCGGGTCACGGAGGAAATTAGCAGCCCATGAAGCATTAGCAAAGCCTTTTGGTGTCCACTCTACTGAAGTGTGCAAATAAAATACCCCAGGGGGAACATTTCATTTCTAATGGGCCCCCACTGCTGGGACACGCTGGCCTGGCCCGGGCGGCTGGCAGGAGCCTGGCACGGGCCCATGGCACTGCCACCACTGCTGGCCATGGGCCACGGGCCACTGGCAGGGCCCTGGAGCCTGCAGGGACACCGAGCCCTGCCCTGGAGCCTGCAGGGACACCGAGCCCTGTCCTGGAGCCTGCAGGGACACCGAGCCCTGCCCTGGGAGCTGCAGGGACACCGAGCCCTGCCCTGGAGCCTGCAGGGACACCGAGCCCTGCCCTGGAGCCTGCAGGGACACTGAGCCCTGCCCTGGGAGCTGCAGGGACACCGAGCCCTGCCCTGGAGCCTGCAGGGACACCGAGCCCTGCCCTGGAGTGTGCAGGGACACCGAGCCCTGCCCTGGGAGCTGCAGGGACACCGAGCCCTGCCCTGGGAGCTGCAGGGACACCGAGCCCTGCCCTGGAGTGTGCAGGGACACCAAGCCCTGTCCTGGGAGCTGCAGGGACACCGAGCCCTGCCCTGGAGCCTGCAGGGACACCGAGCCCTGCCCTGGGAGCTGCAGGGACACCGAGCCCTGCCCTGGAGTGTGCAGGGACACCGAGCCCTGCCCTGGGAGCTGCAGGGACACCGAGCCCTGCCCTGGAGTGTGCAGGGACACCGAGCCCTGCCCTGGGAGCTGCAGGGACACCGAGCCCTGCCCTGGGAGCTGCAGGGACACCGAGCCCTGCCCTGGAGTGTGCAGGGACACCGAGCCCTGCCCTGGGAGCTGTAGGGACACCGAGCCCTGCCCTGGGAGCTGCAGGGACACTGAGCCCTGTCCTGGAGTGTGCAGGGACACCGAGCCCTGTCCTGGGAGCTGCAGGGACACCGAGCCCTGCCCTGGGAGCTGCAGGGACACCGAGCCCTGCCCTGGGAGCTGCAGGGACACCGAGCCCTGCCCTGGGAGCTGCAGGGACACCGAGCCCTGCCCTGGGAGCTCCTGGCCCTGCAGCAGGTGGGCAGTGCCCTCTGATCACTGCTGGGCACAGCTCCATGGCACCAGGGCTGTGCTGGCCCTGCTCTGAACAGAGCCAGGACCGTCTGAGCCCCTCTCAGCCCATGTCCAGCCCAGCCACCCTTGTGAAGCACCCAGCCCCTGGTGCAGGACAATCCCATGGTGACATCCCAGCCTTTCCTGCGGGCTTGCTCAGCTGCACAAATATTCCAGTGCAAATCCCGGTTCCAGAGCCACGAGCCCAAACACAGCCAGCCCTGGGTGGGTTTGGTCCAGCCCTGCATCCTGCATGCCCCGGGCCGGGGGAGCAGCAGCTCCCCGCGATGAGCAGAGCAGGAGGGACGGGAGAGGCGCTGGAGCCGCTGGCTCGCCGGGGGAGCAGGTGGCGGTGGCTGCTTCGTGTCGCTCGCAGCTCAGTAAAACGTGTCAGCACAGCCTTCAGCAGCTTTGCAGCTCAGCCCATCCCCTTGACAGAGCTAATTCTCTGGCTGGGCAGGGACTTTTCACAGCTAAACACCTTCTTTGTTTAACTTAATTTCTTTCTTTCTTCTTCTTTTTTTTTTTCCTTTCTTTGCAGAAAGTTGAATTTTGTTCTGTTTAAACATCTTTGGTTTGGGGGTTGTCTGGGGTTGCTGTGATGAGGCTGAGAGCTGCAGGGTGCTGAGTGCCCATCCCGTGATTTGTTCATGGATCCCGTGATTTGTTCATGGATCCTGTGATTTGTTCATGGATCCCGTGATTTGTTCATGGACCCTGTGATTTGTTCATGGATCCCGTGATTTGTTCATGGATCCCATGATTTGTTCATGGATCCCATGATTTATTCATGGATCTGTGATTTGTTCATGGATCCCGTGATTTGTTCATGGATCCTGTGATTTGTTCATGGATCCCATGATTTGTTCATGGATCCTGTGATTTGTTCATGGATCCCATGATTTGTTCATGGATCCCATGATTTGTTCATGGATCCCATGATTTGTTCATGGATCCCGCTCTGCCCAGGGCGCTGATGCTGCGGGGCTGGGCAGGAGGGAGGTGCTGGCAGCAGAGCTGTGGGTGCTGAGTGCCCATCCCATGATTTGTTCATGGATCCCATGATTTGTTCATGGATCCCATGATTTGTTCATGGATCCCATGATTTGTTCATGGATCCTGTGATTTGTTCATGGATCCCATGATTTGTTCATGGATCCCATGATTTGTTCATGGATCCCATGATTTGTTCATGGATCCTGCTCTGCCCAGGGCGCTGATGCTGCGGGGCTGGGCAGGAGGGAGGTGCTGGCAGCAGAGCTGTGGGTGCTGAGTGCTGCTGCAGGGAAGGCCCTGCATGCACCAGGCGCCTCTTGCTGCACTCCCAGCTCCAAGCTGAGCTCTGAGCCGCTGCAAAAGCCACATGTCGGGAACGGAAATTAAAGGCCCCTTGATTCTGACATGATAGAGCGATTAAAGCCACATTTCTTGGCCTGGGTACCTAACTGGAAATGCAGATATAAGGCTTAGATCCCCAAGGGGATTCAGATTTCTAATCCGAATTTATGCAGCTAAATTCCTATTGATTTCCCCCAGGTAGGGCCCTAAATGCCTTTGTGGGCTGTGATCCAGGATGGAGGTGTTGTGGCTTAGGAGGGAGCCCTGGCCCTGACAGGCTGAGCGCAGCTCTGGGGTGAGGGGCATTGTCCTGCCCTCCCTGCCAGGGCTGGGCTCTCTGGGGGCTCTGCAGGTGGGGTCTGGGTGCCCCCATCTCCTGCTGTCACTGGTGGGGATGTGCAGCTGGACCGAGCCACTAAAGGAAGGTGCAGCCCCAAATAGCAAATCCTAAATCTGAGATTCTCTTACCAGAGAGAGCAGGACTGAGAACACGGGAATGGGGCCTGCCTGGGGTCCCAGACACCCCCGGAGTGGGGCAGGGCAGACCAGCAGGGCTGCTTGGGTTTGCTGCAATGCAAGGGGAGGCTGTGCTGAACAGCTTTGGGGTTCCTGCCCTTTTCTCTCCCTCCCCAGAGTTCCTGGTCAGGTCTCTGTGCATGAGCTGCCCCTCACTGTCCCATGGCTGAGGGGGGACTGTGACCACTCTGCCAAGGCAGAGGCACCTGCTGGGCATCAGAGCATCCTCTGCTCTGCAGAGCGGGCTGAGGAGCCTTGGCACCAGCACAGGAGTGCGGGGGCACCGAGGGCAGCCCTGCCCTGTGCCGGGCACAGCCCCCACGGCACGGAGCCGTGCCGCTCCCCGGCAGGGCAGGGAAAGAGGGAGGAGTAATTTCCACTCGTATTCACGCGTTTGTTTTGGTGCTTTGCAGGCCCAAACCTTCCCCTGGCACCCCGCTGCCATCCCTGGCAATGGACACACAAAACCTTTCCTGCGGGATGCCACCTTGGGAGCACCTTGGGAGCATCCCGAGCCCTGCCTGCAGCGGCTCCTCACAGCCAGCGTGTCCCGAGGGTGCTGCCCAGTGCCCCGTGCCGGGCTGGGACCTCGCTGCCTGTGCTGCGGGAGGGTCCCGAGCTGCCGGGCAGGCGGAGCCGGGAGCGCCGATCCCAGCGGATAACGGCCATTAACCTCTCCCTTGGAACAAGAAGGTGCAAATGAGCCCACAGTAGCCTCCTTTCTTCTGGCTGAGCAAGATTGATTGAAAAACAAATTGGCGCAAATAAAGCATGTAATTAGATTAAAGCCTCTCGCCTGGAGCGGCTGGAAAGCGGCAGCGAGGGATTCCCGGAGCCCGCAGCCCCTTCCACCTTCCACCTCCTCAGCCCCTTCCATCTCCTCAGCCCCTTCCATCTCCTCAGCCCCTTCCACCTCCGCAGCCCCTTCCACCTCCGCAGCCCCTTTCCGTCTTCCACCTCCGCAGCCCCTTCCCATCTCCGCGGCCCTTTCTTCCCACCTCTGCAGCCCCTTTTTCACATCTCCTCAGCCCCTTCCACCTCCTCAGCCCCTTCCACCTCCGCAGCCCCTTCCACCTCTTCAGCCCCTTCCACATCCTCAGCCCCTTCCCATCTCCGCGGCCCCTTCTTCCCATCTCCTCAGCCCCTTCCACATCCTCAGCCCCTTCCCACCTCCGCAGCCCCAACCCCAGCGGTCCAGCAGGACCAGCGGCTCCAGGATGTGACCGGGCTGTCCCCCCACATCCCGGCAATGTCCTCGCAGGCTCCTCGGCCGCTCCGGTCCCGGCTGCGGTGCCTTTGGTCCCTCCCTGGCAGTTCTGGTCCCCGGCACCACCGCAGGCACCCCCCAGCGCCCGGGGGGAGTTCCCTGCCTGCCCCCGGAGCTGCCTGGGCCGGTTTGGGGATGGGGATGAACGGCCCGAGGGGTTTTGGTGGTTCAGGACAGGCACATCCCGATATTGCCGGGTCTAACGGGAGCAGGAGATGGCTGCTGGGGACAGTCCAGCTGCGCCGGACACCCACTGGAGACGCTGCACTGGAAAACAAGCAGTGAACTGGAAAACACCTCACTGGAACATTGCCCACCAACACGGGCTTTCACAGCTCTTCCACACCTCTGTCCCCTGCTCAGCCCTCTCCCGGGGCTGGCTGCACATTTCCTGTCCCTTCCCGCAGGATTTATCCAGTGTTGAGCTGCACATTTCCTATCCCTTCCCATAAGATTTATCCAGTGTTGAGCCCCAGGACACGCTGGGGACGTGGGGTACAGATCCAGGGGTGCCCTGCCAAGAGCCACTGCCAACACTGAAATACATTCCTAGGAAAACGCCTGTCCCTGGGAGCCGAGCACCCCATAAATCCCTGCCTGACAGCACCTCCCAGCCCAGGGGGAAAATCACAGTTTTCTGTTCAGCAGAAATGCAGAAACAGGGAGCTGGTGCTGGGACAAGAGCTTCGTGTCTCCAGGGGGAATCAGCCTCTGGAAATGGCCCAGGGTGGGGAGAGGGAACTTGTCAGTCCTGACTCTGAATCTCGAGGCTTGCCTGTGGTGGGATGTGGGGATAAAGGGTTGCAGGGATAAAGGGATGTGGAGATGAAAGAATAAGGGGATGCAGGAATGGAGGGGTTTGGATGGAGGGAGTGGAGGGATGCAGGGTTTTGGGGCTGGAGGGATGCAGGGTTTTGGGAGTGGAGAGATGCAGGGATTTGGGGTTGGAGGGATGCAGGGATTTGGGGTTGGAGGGATGCAGGGATGTGGGGTTGGAGGGATGCAGGGATTTGGGAGTGGAGGGATGCAGGGTTTTGGGGCTGGAGGGATGCAGGGATTTGGGGCTGGAGGGATGCAGGGAAGGAGGAATGCATGGATGTGGGACTGCAGGAAGCCCAGCACTGGGATGATGAGAGCACAGTGCCGTTGTGCATGAAGTTTATCTGCATTTCAGCAGTTTTGGGGGTTGTTTTAGGTTTTTTCCTTCAGACTTTCTGAGCTGTTTTGAAGCTCGCTCACTGGAAGCCCCTCTCCCCCATTGTGCTCCCAGCCATTCACTGGGATCACCATGAGAAACCTTTCAGAGGGAGCTGGATGCCGCTGATCAATCCATCACTCAATCAATCACGCAGCCAATCCATCACCTCGCTTACAGCTGGGACAAGGCAGAGAAAGCCCGGGCAGGGCTGAATGAATTCCTCCTTTGGATGGGCACAAAGCTGGAGACTCCCGGGCCGAGCCCGGCTTTACCCCGGGCTGAATGAAATGAGGATTTCCCCTCCCGCCCGCGCCGCAGGGAGCTGGGCAGGGCTTTGTTCCCAGGCTCGGGATGCTCCCGGCTCTCGACGGCTGACACAGCCAAGGGCTCGGGCTTTTCTCCCTGTCAGCGCTGAAACAAGCTCCAGCTCACCAGGGAGGGCGGTTTCCCCGTTCCTGGTTCTGGGGGAGGATTCAGGCTGAGATTTGGGTACCACAGCACGCAGCAGCTCTGCCTCGGGTCTCCTCTGCCCTCAGGGAAAGCTGCAACCTGCAGCCAGAGCTGCTCTGGGTCTGGGAGGGCCAGGGAGCCCTCAGAGCTGGCTTTTCCCTTTCCTGCACTTACATCCAGCCTCTTCCCCACCAGCCAGGAACAAAAGGGCCCAAAACGACATTTGGAAGGGCCAGATCTGGTTTTGAAACTGCAGAGGTTGATTTCCAGGGGAAAGCCATGGGGAGCTGCATCAATCCAATCACCTGGTTTTATTTAAGCCCCCTGGCTGAAATCATCCATTTCAGATAATCATTCCCCAGAAAATCTGGATTTGATTCAGATAAGACAAGGACTGACTGGCAGGTTTGTAAACCTTTGTAAACCCCCCCACTGCTATTTTTGTTTGCCCTTTCACTGTGGTCTCTTCTGTCTGAGAGGGACCAAAAAAGCACCAGGAAAGCTCCTCTTGCCTGGCAGCAGAGATGAGGAGCAGCCCCTCCTCTTCCTCCAATCTCTCAGCATGGGAGAGCATGGATGCATTTCATCTAAACAATCCACTTTTGGCTGCTTTTCCCAAACTGATTGGGACCCCTGAGAGCAAAGCAGAGCCAGGCAGGACCCCCCACACCAGAGCTGACATTGTCCCACCCCTCATTCCAAGGCCAGCTTGGCCCGTGGTCTCTGCAATGGCTCAGGTTGGGCTGATGCCCCTCAGCTCTTGGCCACTTTCTGTCCCTCGTGGCCACGAGCACAGGAAATGGGGCAGCACCTTTCCCACAACTGCCTGCACTCAAAGCCTCTCACTAATTGCTTTTCCCATCTTGTTTCCAAACCCTTTTCCTCCCATAGCATGGGAGCTCTGGCTCGCAGACACTGATTTAGTGATTTGTGAAAAACCCCCCAGATTTCAGCAGGGTGGGGGTGGGAGCTGAGAGATGCCAAGACACAGCACTGCTGGATGCTCCCCGTTGAGGAAAAGGGATGAAGTATGGAGGGTTCAAGCTCCTTGGACAAAGCAGTGCTTAAAATCTCCAAAACAAAATCCCAGCGAGAAGAATTATGATGGGATTCTGGGCCTGATGGATTGCTCAGCTTGGCTCAGCCTTTGCTGGGCTTTCAGTGGGAGAAGGCTCCTGGGGGGATGCCCGGGTCCCTGGTCACCCCTCTGGGCAGGGAATGGGGACATGTCCCCTCTGGGGACACAGGGATCCACAAGGCACTGTGCAGGCATTTCCCATCCCTGCCAGACCATGGATAACCCACCCCAGCCTCCAGCCAGGGCTCCTGAGCTAAGGAAGGGCTCTGGCCCTGCTGGGATGTGCTCGGTTATCAGCTCCATGCAGTTCCCAGTTATCAGCTGGGCTTTAGAGCCTGAGCAGCCCCTCTCCCTTGGCAGGCTGCAGGAGTGCTGCTGTGTTTGCAGGGGTAAAAGCTGTCCCTTCAGTCAGTCCCACACACCCCCTGGGACACCAACACTGGTTTGTAGGGGTTTTTGTGTTTGCAGGGGTAAAAGCTGTCCCTTCAGTCAGTCCCACACACCCCCTGGGACACCAACACTGGGACTGCAGATTCCAGGGCTGTCCCCTGCTCCTGGGCCTGGGTGACAGTCCCTGCCACAGCACTCAACTCAGGGATCAATCCAAGGTGACATCTGTCACTTTTAGTCCAAAGCCCTTAATTTATGAACTCTCCTGCACCGCTGGGACAGAAGTAAACACCTTTTCCACCTCCTGTCCTTCAGAGCTGGGGCTCAAATACCCCGGGAAGCTCCAGGCAGCAGCCCAGGACAAGTCAGCCCTTGAGGGACCCTCTGGCTCCTGCTGCCATCCCCTGGGCAGCACCATCGGGGTCCCTCGGTGACACGGGGGGACAGCTGTGCCTCCACTCGGATCCAGCACTGGGGAATGCCCCTGAGCTCTCAGATTCGGCAGGAAATCCTCCTGCACCTCCCTGCCCTCCGGGGAACAGCCGGCTCTCAGGATGCTGCCAGCCACGTGTTTCCAGCACGTTTGGCATCAAAGGAAACCCCTGGTCCCGGTACGAGCAGCTGGATTTATGGCTTTGGTGCAATTTATCTCGAGGGAGGTGATTGCTGAGGTGGCACTGAGCACCGAGACGCTCCAGAAGGAGGGAACGAAACGAACGGACCTGCGAAGAAGGGAATGGAACGAACGAACCTGCGAAGAAGGGAATGGAATGAACGAACCTGCGAAGAAGCAAACGGAACGTACCTGCGGGCTCCTCGGCGCTGCTGGCGGCCGTGGTGGGCGGAGCAGCCGGGATCTCTGCGGGACAGCCGGGGCACAGGGGACACACAGGAGACAGAGGAGGAGGAAGGAGAAGTTATTGCAAACCCCAGAGCTGCTCCCTGCCCACGCTGCAGCTGCCCCTCCCAGCGAGAGCCCCCAGACCAGTACAGCGGGAACTGGGGAACCGGGTCCCTCAAAGCTGTCACAAAGGGGCTTTGAACAAAACATTCTGGCTTTTGGCTGCGTGCTGCTGCACGGTGCCCAGCCCCTGTCACTGCTGTCCCTGGGCTGTCCCCCGCAGCTGCTGTCACCAGCTCGGAGGCAGTGCTGGCACTCCCGTGGTGAGAGGCAGGGTGCAGGTTCAGCACTGCAGCTCTGCTGGGGTGCAGGGGGTGCCTCCCGCATTTAAAGGAAACACAAACACATCTGGTGCCAATTCCCTGCTCCCTGGCTCTGATTTGGGGCCAGCTTTGCAGAGCTGGAACCACATCGTGCTCTGGAGACTCATTCCCAGGCTGTGTTTGCTGGGAGGGTGGACTGTGGATGGAGGGAGGGAGGGAGCTGCACGGTCCCAGCTGTCAGGATGCTCCCCTTGGATGTCCTTCCTGCATTCCTGGAGTCCTGGGGGGAACACCCACCAAGGCAGGGTTTGCTGGCGGTGTGGCAGCAGCTCATAGGGCATCAGGTGATTTTTGGGGTGGCTCACCTTCATGCAATGGAACACAGTACAAGGCAGCACTGGGAGCCAGCATACCATCCCACAGCTGGGGGTGCTGGGGGTGCTCAGCCAGGCCTGACACAGACCCAAGGTGCTCTTTTCATGGCTACAAGTCCCTGGGAACAGGGAATTACCAGCAGCAGTAAATGAGAGAGTGGCTGTGCCCAGCCCCAAAGCCTGGATGGGCCATGTTGAAATCCTGGGCCTGTCTTTATAAATGCCATGAATCCTGAGGGAGCTGATGCAAGGAACAATTTGCCCTCTGCTTTCCCCTGGCCCTGGGGAATGATTCATGATAAACCTTTGTGCACACTTGCTGCAGAGCAGACTGGAGCCACGGCTGGAGGTCCTGGGGACAGCGAGCCTCTGCTTTGGGCTCTTGCTGTCCCATTGCAACACGGGGAAAAATGAATCTCAAGTGGCCCCAAACCACCCTGGAATGTCTGTTTTCTTCAGCAGGAGAAGGTGGAGAAAGGGTCTCTGCCCCAGAATTTGGCAATGGCTGTGCTGGGGGGGCAATGGTGTGGGAACAGGCTGTGGGTCCCCAACAAAGGCTGGAGTCTTTTAACCTTCACTTTTCTTGCTGGGCCTTTTTCTCCTTTTAGCATCAGGGAATCACCCCTTAGGGGAGCAGTTCCTCCTTCCCATCCCTGGCACACTGATTTTGATGCTCTGTTTTGTTAGGGCAGGTGGGGATGTCCCACGAGGAGCATGAGCCACTGGAAGGTCCAAGAGCAGCAAACCCATGGGCAGCAGAGAGGGGCACAGGACTGAGCCCCACCTTCCCAGGCAGGGAGAGGGAGGGGATCCAGGTGTTTGCAGAGCAGAGGCTGCAGTGGAGGCGTTTTGGGAGCTGTACCTGCCTTGGGAAGGCAAATTGAAAAGCAAACCCAAGGAAGCCAAGGGTAAACCCAGCCATGGCAGGGCTGTGTGAGTGCAAGAGCCCCTGCAGCAGCCCAGGGGCTCTCAGATGTGATGGAAACTCAATCAAAGGAGCAGCTCCTCTGGTCTGAGCTCTGTGCCAGTGCAGCACAGCCTGATTTTGGAGAAAAGAACGTGTTTGTAGTGATCTGCTTTAGCATCCAGCCCTGATGTGGCACCCCTGAATAAATGTGCTTTTGGAGCGCCTCTGTTCCATGAAACCAAATGGAATTCCCAGCACACCTGGCTGTAGATGCACTCACAGAACCCCCCCGAGGAGGCAGGAGAGCTGCTGGAAGCCGCTGTGGGTTTTGGACCCCGTTTGGGCAGAGCAGAGGGGTCCCCAGGGAGCCCCCACCCCGAGCGCTTCGGCACCGCCCAGCCCGGGCAGCAGCTCCGGCGGGTTTTTAAGGGTTAAAATCCCTACCCCACAGAAGGAAGATCCACCTACTTATGCAGGGGGCGATGGGGGAGCGGCTCTGCTGGTAGCCCTTGGCGCAGCGGTTGCAGGTGATGCCGGTGACGCCGTCCTTGCAGGGACACTGGCCCGTGGTCTGGTTGCAGGTCTGGCCGGCGGCACCCACGGGGTGACAGTCGCACTCTGCGGGGCACACACGGCAGCGGGGTCAGGGCAGGGCACGGGGGCGGTGCGGCATCGGCGGGGAGCGGGGCAGCTGCCCCGGCACCGCTCCGTGCTCTCTGCGCTCCGGCAAAGCCCCGGAACGAGCCGCGCCAGCCGCGGCGTCGGGCACAGGGGCTGGGGACAGCGCCGGAGAGGGGGTGGCCCTGTCACAGCCCCGCTGCGGGGACAGAAGCGCGGCCAGGATGACAAATCCTGGGAGGCAGCGTGGGGGTGCATCCCACGGACCCGGCTGCTCACCCCACCAGCGCTGGGATCAGGAGCCTGCAGGATTTAAAGATTTAAAGGCAGGGGAGCGTCACCCGCTGCCCCCAGCCAGCAGCCCCAAGCCCCGGGGGCGGTGGCAGGGCCGGCACAGAGGTACAAAGGCAGCGGGGTCCCGCCACCCCTCAGCTCAGGCAGGAAGCAATCGAATCGCTCGGGAATTCATCCCACGTGCACTCCAAGATAAATCAAAGCGGTCCTTTCAGAGCCCTCCCCGCCGAGCAGCATCCCTGGCAGCTGGCACTGCGGGCACAGGAAGGAAATGCCCTTGTGGGATGGGTGGATGGATGGATGGATGGATGCAGGCGGGCTGAGGACCTGCTGTTCCCGGCCAGATGGATGCAGCCTTGACGGCAGAGCCGGGCAGATGTGAAGGGTTTGGCAGGGGATGTAAATAGTGCACTTGAAAACATTCAAACATTCAAACATTCACCATCTCATTTCCCGCAGTGGGACTTCACCGGCACAGCTGTTTGGTGGGGGGCGGGGGGGAAAAATTTAAAAAAGGCAAAAAGAAGAAAAGCCAAAAAAAAAAAAAAAAAGCAAAAAGCATCAGGGCTTGTTATCATCAGTGCTCCAAAAGGATTACGGCCTCGCACATTTGTTAACAGCCCTGATTTCTAAGAGCTGCAAGCGCCGTGCCAGACTGTGGGCTGCCCCTGCTGAGCCGTGGCAGGGACAGGCAGGCAGGCAGGAAACTTTCCTTTTCTTCTGCAGCATCCCGGGAAGGAGGCAGCCAAATCCCTCCCTGGGGAGCACTGATCCCGCTCTGCTCCTGCCCCTCAGGGGAGCTGCCTGCCAGGAACAGGGGCTGGGGGAAGCCTGTCCCACTGCCTGGGTCCTGGAGGGGGCTGCAGTGGGGTCAGGGCAGGGTGAGTGTCCCCAAGGACACCAGTGTTCAGTCCCCCCAAGGCCCCCAGATTGGGCACACCACTCCCAAGAGGGCTTTCCCTGGACCCTGCAGTCCTGCTCGGTTTGTTGTGCACATCCCTGGCTCTCAAACAGCCCAGATGTGCCTCATTTGAGGACAGCAGAGCACATCCCACGCTGGGTTTGGGTTCCCAAGTGCTGGTGCTTGGCTGGAGGCTCCGTCCAAGCCAGCCCAGTGTGACCTCCCTGGGCAGCAGCTCCTGGCTGGTCCCTGCCCAGCAGGGCTGGGGTGGTGCCTGGAGCGCCCCTGCTCTGGGATGTCCAACTTCTCCTTGGGGACATCCCAGAGCTCCAGACTGCCACCAGCCCTGGCCCCAGAGGGGCTGGGTGGGAAGAGACAGGGCCTTGCCAAAACCCAATCATTTTTCACATGAGAGGGAAAGAAACCCCTCAAGAGACCGACAAAGTCTTTGCTCCTTTCCTCCTCTTTTCCTAACACTTCTGATTTGGCGTTTTTGATTAAAAGTACCTCTCTCCCCCCTGCCCCCAGCTGCCACTGGGAAACGGCTGCTTGCAAACCTGCCCACTGCAGAAATCTCCTTTTCTAAAGCTAATTTAGATTGGAAACGCTTTAACAGGAAATCAGCGTGGCTGGTGATGAGCAGAGGGATGCTTAGGTGGGAAAACCTTCCCGCTGCAGCCTCAATGGCTCAGGTAATGCTGGGAGAGAGGAAATCCAAACACGTTAAGAGAAGGCCTGAAGGAGGAACGGGAGAGAAAAGTGTCAAAGAAGAGCAGAGAGTCAGGAGTTAACACAAAAAATAAGCAAATCAGGGAAGGGTTACCCAAGGAGAAGCAAAGGGCAGGAGGATGGGGAGAAGAGCCTCGTGTTTCAGGCGTGCCCCCGGGGCTGCTCCAGGCAGACCCGATCCTGTGAGGAGCCCCCGGTGAGGGGATCGCCCTCATTACAGTGGGAGCGCTCGGGAAAAGAGGGAAAAGAGGGGAAAGAGGGGAAAGAGGGAAAAGAGGGAAAAGAGGGAAAAGAGGGGAAAGAGGGGAAAGAGGGGAAAGAGGGAAAGGAGGGGAAAGAGGGGAAAGAGGGGAAAGAGGGAAAAGAGGGAAAAGAGGGGAAAGAGGGGAAAGAGGGGAAAGAGGGAAAGGAGGGGAAAGAGGGGAAAGAGGGGAAAGAGGGAAAAGAGGGGAAAGAGGGGAAAGAGGGGAAAGAGGGGAAAGAGGGGAAAGAGGGAAAAGAGGGGAAAGAGGGGAAAGAGGGGAAAGAGGGAAAGGAGGGGAAAGAGGGGAAAGAGGGGAAAGAGGGAAAAGAGGGAAAAGAGGGGAAAGAGGGGGAAAAGCCCTGGTGATGAGTAAGATCCCCAGGCTCTTGAGGCCACAGTGAGAGCACCGAGGGCTCTCTGGACAGCACAGAAATCAATCAATCAATCAATCAATCAATGAAATGCTGCTGCTTCCTCCCCTCCTGAGGCAGTGGCTCGGGCAGCTCACCCAGAGCTGCCGGGTTATTTTCAGAGCCGAATCTCTCTGAGGTTGTCTCGGGTTCCCCCAGGCCGGGCTCTGTGAGGTCTCTGGTGGCCCCGTGTGTGATGTGATGTGTCCTGGGCTGCAGGGGGCACGAGTGGCAGAGGGTCGGGGACGCGGATTTCACCGGGATGAGATCCCGGCCATCTCTGCCCCGCCGAGGGTGAAATCCTCGGCTCTGGGTGACGGGACGGGCTCTGTGTCACCTGTGCCCCCCGTGTCACCTGTCCCCAGCGTCCCCTGGGCCCAGCCCGTGGTTCCCAAGCTCCGCGAGCCAGGGCGCTCAGCGCTGCCGCCGGGGGAGGCAGGCGGGGCTCTCCCCGTGCCTGCAGATGGGGATTTGCCGTCCCTGTCCTCGAGAAACTGAACCAGCGCCAGCAATTAGGAGCAATTAAAGGTAATTTACCGTTCCCCGGCCAGTGCAAACACTTGCAGCCAGCAATTACAGGCTCTTCTCCTTCCCCAGCCACGGAGGGCCGGGCTGCTGGTGCTTGACGCTGATTTTCCCAATCCGGTTCAAATTCCTTTGGGCTGTAGCCCCAAACTGAGGGAAGTGTGCACCAGGATGCCAGCGGGGGGGTGATAGCTGCAAACGCCCCTTTGGCATCTCCGATGGGCACCCTGGCACTCACAGAACACGTTCGCATTCCTGAACTTGCCTGGCTCTCATCCCTGCCCTTCCCTGGGCGCAGGGATTTGTGCATTTGTTCATCCCGCACCGAGGTGCAGAAATTCAGCAGAGCCCTCGGGGCACCGGAGCTGAGGGCAGCTCCGTGAGCAGGACAGGAAAGTGTCCGGGACCTCATCCCGGCGATGATAAGGAGGAAAACGAGGGGTTTTCCTCATGCCTTGCTTGAAAGGATCGCCCCACAGAGGGTGCGGTGAGATGGGCGAGAAGCAAACGGGGATGATGCTGGAGCAAGGAAAATGCCCACAGGACATCGGGGGAAGGGAAGTAACTCTCAGGATTTTGGTTTTTTCCAAAAACCTTTAAGAAAAATTTATGCTGAGTGTGTGTGGCAGAGATGACCAGGAATTCCTACTGAAAAAGAAATTATTTTTGGTTGAAAACATGGCTGTGGAGGAGAAAACAAGGAGCAGGAATCTATGGGGAGGCTTTAACGGGCAATGGGGGCAGCAGTGGGGCTGCCTCTGCTCCCAGAAGCTGAATCCCCTCTAAAATATCCACCAGGAAAGCAGGGAGCCGAGAGCACTCCCAGGTGAGCACCTTGAGCTTGGCTGCTCCAGATGTGAGGAGACCACGGCGCTCTGTGCGAGACAGCGGCCGAGTGGATGGGGGACAGCAGCCAAAATCCGGAGCGCAGAAGGAGGCATAAGTGGAAGGAGGGAACAGGATGGCTCATCCACGCTGAAGGGTCCCAATTAACTGCATCCACTCCAGGAAAAGATGTGGGACTCAATGAAACATCTGGCTGATTGCAGCGGAGCTCAGAAGAGCCACAAGATGGGAGGCTGTGCTGTGAAAGGGGGAGAGAGAAACTCTGAATTCATATCAGGGCACTATAGAAATCAATAGCACGTCCTCAGCTGGGAGCCGCAGTGAAAGGCACGGAGAGCACCCACGGAAAAGATCGGGAACGCCTTGCCAAGAGACGGTGGAGGGCTGCCAAGCAATGCACAGCGCCGGGAAGGTCAGACAGGTGCTCCTCTTCACTGCTCCTCAAAGCCAGCAACAAAGGGACATTGAGGGCCTTGAAAAGGCAACCTTCTCAGCGATAAAAGGAAACGCTGCTTTGCACCGCACGTAATTAACTCGTAGAACTCCTGCTACGAGACACCATGGCAAGGGCCCAACAGGATTAGATAGGGCTCTGAATGAGAACATCTGTAGTTACATTAGCTGGGATTAATATATATACGGATATAAGCGCTGCCAGGCAGCTCCTCACCGCCTGCAGCCAGGAGATTTCCCCCGGGGCCCGGCTCTGCCCAACCGGCTGCCGTGGGCTTTTATGGCTCTGTCTGGAGCTTCCGAACCAGCCCCGATTTTCTGTACAAACCTGCTGAGGCAGAGCATCGCCCGCCCCAGCCCAGCCAGCGGCGCCTTTCTGTGCTTCAGCTCAGGTTTGGGGCTAAAAAACACCTGGAAGGATCCTGGGGCTGAGCTTGGGATAAAAAACAGCCCCGCGGTTTTTCAGTTGAGGTGGCTGAACTTGCTGAGGTGGTTCTGCCCCGCTGAAGGTTGACAAATAGCACGACAAAAATGCAAATATTTTCGCATCCCCGGTGCTCGGGGGAGGAGGCATTCCCAGCCGCTAATCCTGCCCCGC